AAATCTAAACAAACAAACAAACAAACAAACAAACATTAAATAGAAATGGACTTTGTCTTTGTACTCTTCTCTTTCAATTTATAACTTCCTGTTCTCTCTCCAGATATCTTACTACTCATATTGTAACTCTTCACTACCTAGGATTTCTCATTGTTTCTTATTCAAGACTAATCTTAAATTCATTTTTATCTTTATTTTTTTCCTTTTTATCGGATTTGTTGGGATGACACTGGTTAAAGAAATTTTACAGGTTTCAGGTGCACAATTCCACAAAACATCATCTGTACACTGTATTGTGTGTTCACCACCTCAAGTCAGGTCTCCTTCCATTACCATTTATGCCTCTATTCTGTCTTTATTTCTCTGATAGTTCATTATGCCCTTCTTTCTTCTCATGGATCATAGAGTTCTGCTGCTTTCAGACTTTTCATAAGCAATAGAACCCTATATAAATAAATAAATAAATAAATAAATAAATAAATAAACAAACAAACAAACCAAACTTGGGATAAAACCTTGACTGCTCGGATCCTTTCAACTGTTCCTTCAGTTCTCCCTCTTAGCTCACTCTTTTCACTTTGCTCCACAACAATTTCAGGGTGGGATACAATGGGGGAAAATAATCAAACATAACCTAGCTCAAAATACTCACTTTATATCAGAAGGAAACTGAAGTATAAAAAGAGCTTCAAAGCTATTGATGGCGAGCTATTTCAGGTCAGGCTGTCATGAAATTAGTCTCAATTGCTAAGCAAAATTAAAATGTGAAAAAAATAAGATTGAAAAAAATTTTTACATGCAATTTGAACAGTCAATATAGTGATAGTGATTCCAAAATCTACTTTTTAAGTTATGTTCATAAGCAAATAATAATTCAAAATTCTCTGTTACAAGGAATAATAATATCTAAAAAGTAGTAATGTCATTTTTGACAAGGGTGCCAAGACAATCCAATGGGAAAATACTAGTCTTTTCCACAGATGGTGCTGGCACGACTGGGTATACCCATGCAAAAGACTGAAGTTGTATCCCTACCTCACACGATATAAAAATGAACTCAAAATAAATCAAAGACTCAAGTATAAGAGGCAAAACTACAAAACTCTTAGAATAGGAGTAAATCTTTTTTTTTATCCTCACCCGAGGACATTTTTCCATTTTTTGCACAGATAGAATGGGAGGGAGAGAGAGGAAGAGAGAGAAAGAGAGAAACATTGACGTGAAAGGGACACATTGAGTGGCTGCCACCCGCACGACCAACCAGGGCCGGGGACAAACTGCAACCGAGGTACATGCCCTTAGCGGGAACCGAACCCTGTCTCTCTGGACCGCAGGCCGATGCTCTAACCGCTGAGCCAAACCGGCCAGGGCAGGAGTAAATCTTTATGGCCTTGGATTTGGCAATGGTTTCTTAGGTGTGGTACCAAAAGCATAGGTGAAAAAAAACTTGGATTCCATCAAAATGAAAAGCTTTTGTGTATCAAAGGAAACCATCAAGAAAATGAAAAGATAACTTATAGAATGGGTAGAAATATTTGTAAATCATATATTGATGAGACTTGTATCCAGAATGTATAAAGAACTCTTACAACCCAACAATAAAAAGACAAAAAGCCCAATTTTTTAAAAGGGCAAAGTATTTTAACTGATGTTTCTTCAAGTAAGAGTACAAATGCCCCAAAAGCATATGAAATGATGTTCAAGATCATTACTCATTAGGGAAATGTAAATCAAAACCACAACGTGATATTACTTCCTCCATATTAGGATGGCTATAATAAAAACAAACTAACAAATGGTGAGGATGTGGAGAAATTGGAATCCTTTTTTCCCTCCAATTTTTATTAATTTATTTTTGTTACAGATGTTTCTCCTTTCCCTCCCTGACACCCTCCTCCTTATGCCGCCCCCTCCCCCCTAAGCATTGTTGTCTATGTCCATTGGTTATGCATTCATGCATATAAGTTCTTTGGTTCATCTCATCCATCCCCTCCACCCCCCTACTCTGAGGTTTGTCAGTCTGAACCATGCTCCTTTCTATGTCTCTGGGTTTATTTCGTTCATCAGCTCACCTTGTTCATTATATTCCACAAATAAGTGAGATCATGTGGTATTTGTCTTTCTCTAATTGGCTTATTTCGCTTAGCATGATACTCTTGAGGTCCTTCCATGTCGTCTCAAAGGATAAGAGATCTTTCTTTCTTACAGCTGCATAGTACTCCATTGTGTATATGTACTACAGCTTTTTTATCCACTTATCTATTGATAGACATTTGGGCTGTTTCCAGATCTTAGCAATTGTAAATAATGCTGCTATGAACATAGGGGTACATATAATCTTTCTGAGTGGTGTTTCAGGCTTCTTAGGATATATTTCTAGAAGTGAGATCACTGGGTCAAATGGCAGTTTCATTTTTAATTTTTTGAGGAAACACCATATTGTTTTCCACAGTGGCTGCACCAGTCTGCATTCCCACCAGCAGTGCACTAGAGTCCCCTTTTTTCCACACCCTCGCCAACACTTGTTGTTTGATGATTTGTTGATTGCAGCCATTCTGGCAGGTGTGAGGTGATGCCTCATAGTTTAATTTTCATCTCTCCGATAATTAGTGACGTTGAGCAGAGAAATTGGAACCCTTATACATTGACAGTGGGAATGTAAAATGGTATAGCCACTTAAGAAAACAGTTTAGCAGTTTCTCTATAATTAAAGATGTAATTTTTTTAAAAAGTACAGTTTCCGTTTAATTTTTTTCTGGAGAACTTTTCTTCAGTCCTTTAGGACTTATCTCCTTACACGAGTTTTGGTTAGGTCATGGGACAGCACCCACAGGTCTAAGTCAGGGTTGGGGTCTTTGGTCCTTCCGAGCTTCATGAGATGATTCCTGACTGCCTTGCTGTGAATAGAGTAATGTAGTTTCACATACAGCTTGGGAAGCACATAGGTGTAGAAGACAATCCCTTTGGAAATGTCCGTAACAGCTGTGGCCTCTATTCCATTTCAAATGACGAACTTCTTAACGGCCTCATCTGTGGGCAGGCATTGGGCACAGTAGGTGCAGCGAATAGGCTGCACATGGCCATGGTCTTTTTTGGCACAACCATTGTTCCTTCTTTTCTTGGTCATCTAGGAAGTGAGGACCTGAGAGAATAAACATGTAATTACTGTATGACCCAGAAATTCCACTCCTACTAGCTGAGACATGGTCCTTTCAGACATAGAATATGTAACTTTGATAGCAAAAAGGAAAACCAAGAAAGATATATTACACCAAATAATTAATAGTGTAAAAAGCAATGTATATTTAAATTACTCTTTATAACATAATGGAGTTAATTATTTAAAAATTCTCTAGTCATGCCCCTTTTGCTTACACATTTAATAACGCAAAACAATGCACATTTGTGTGCATACATTTGAAAATGGAATTTGTATGTATGTGAGATTCTGTTTTTATTTTTTTATTTTTTTTTATCCTCACCTGAGGATATTTTTCCATTTTTTTGTACAGATAGAGTGGGAGGGAGAGAGAGGAAGGAAGAGAGAGAGAGAGAGAAACATCGACGTGAAGGGACACATCGAGTGGCTGCCACCCGCACGACCAACCAGGGCCGGGGACAAACTGCAACCGAAGTACGTGCCCTTAGCGGGAACCAAACCCGGGTCTCTCCGGACCGCAGGCCGACGCTCTAACCGCTGAGCCAAACTGGCCAGGGCTGAGATTCTGTTTTTAAAACTAAGAATTAGTAAAAATAAATAAATTAACTTATTAACTTCTCCCTTCCTTCCTCCCTGCCTCCCTTCCTCCCTTCATTCTTTTCTCATTTAAAAAGTTTATTTCGCCCTGACCAGTTTTGCTCAGTGGTTAGAGCGTCAGCCTGTGGTCCAGAGAGACCCGGGTTTGGTTCCCGCTAAGGGCACGTACCTCGGTTGCAGTTTGTCCCCGGCCCTGGTTGGTCGTGCGGGTGGCAGCCACTCGATGTGTCCTTTCGCATCGATGTTTCTCTCTCTCTCTCTTCCTCTCTCTCCCTCCCGCTCTATCTGAACAAAAAATGGAAAAGTGTCCTGGGGTGAGAATAAAAAAAAATAAAAATAAAAAATAAAATGTTTATTTCTATTATTATACTTTTGAAAATTTTTCCCTTAGTTTTTTTTTTTTTTTATCCTCACTCGAGGATATTTTTCCATTTTTTGTTCAGCTAGAGTGGGAGGGAGAGAGAGGAAGAGAGAGAGAGAGAAACCTTGACGTGAAAGGGACACATTGAGTGGCTGTCTCCCACAAGACCCAACCAGGGCCAGGGACAAACTGCAACTGAGGTACGTGCCCTTAGCGGGAACAAAACCAGGGTCTCTCTGGACCACAGGCCGACGCTCTAACCACTGAGCCAAACTGGCCAGGGCTCCCCCTTAGTTTTTAAAGATAGCCATCTGATCTGTACTATCTTGGAGGGGCTATTAAATGGGGATAAAGACCTTTCACATAGGACTGTTTTAAGGAGATGTGAAATAGAGTACTATAAATCTTCATATTGCAGTTCCTTTAACAATCCCTCATAATTTTAGTTTCCTGCTTAGTATATTTTTGCAAGAGGTATCTGGATTTTAAAAAAGGAGAATGTTTTTAATCCAAAGGAATGGATCTCTAAGAGAAGAATGTTAAACACTGTTTTATGATATTACTGAAGACATGTTTCATTACTTAGAGGTGACAACATATGATTTTGAGGCAGGGGATTTATACCATGTGGTTTATTGCTTGGTCTATAAATGAGGGTGGTTTCAGTCTTTAAATAACTTTTTAAAAATTAGTATGTGTGTAGTTTATGATTTTCAAAGGGCTTTTCTCATATATTATTACTTATATTCACAATAACTCTTTGTGAAGAATTGTTTTTTCTTTTTAAAAATTGAAATCTAAACATGCAAAATATATAAAAAATGTAGTTGTATGTATGTATAATGAACACTTATAAGTGAATTTTATGTAACCAACATCCAGGTTTTAAAAAAAATGGAACACTGACATCATCTCAGAAGCCTCTTTGTTTCTTTCCAAGCATACCCCACGTTGTCTCTTTGAGGTAATCATCATTCTATGTTTAATGCTCATCACTTCCTTTGCTTTATAGTTTTATTGTCTATGAATGCATCTCTGAGCAATAGTTTGATTTTTCCTATTTTTGTGCATTATATAAATCATGCAGAATCTATTTTTTATGTGTTTCAGTTTTTGCTCAACATAAGTCATTATGAAATCTTAGTTCATTAATTTGCTTCTTATTGTGTATCAGAGTTTATTTATTTTCTCTATAGTCAGTGAGCATTTGGACTAGATCCAGTTGCTGGTTATTATGAACAATACTGCTCTGAACCGTTACGTCCATTTATCCATTCTTGGTGAACAAGTACACAAGGTTCTCTAGGTTGTATATACAGGAATGGAATTGTTGGGTCAAAGGGTGTGCTTATATTCATCTTTTTTTTTCTCCTTTTTATTGAGTTTATTGATGTGATACTGGTTAACAAAATTATACAGGTTTCAGGCACATAATTCCAAAACACATCATCTGTATATACCCTGTATTGTCTGTTCACCACCCCAAGTCAAATCTGTCTATCACCATGTATCCCCCTTATGCCCTCCTTCACCTCCCCCGGATAATGCTAGACTCTTTTCTAAAGTGATTGTTTATACTCCCACCAATAGTCTATGAGCATTCCCATTGCTCAATATCTTTGTCAACAATTGATATTGTCAGAATTTTTTTTTAAATCCTCACCCGAGGATATTTTTTAATTTATCTTCAGATAGAGTGGGAGAGAGAGACAGATCGTTTGATTGCCTCCTGCATGACCCTGATCAGGGCTGGGAACAGAACCCTTGCCTGGAATTGAACCCTCGACTCTTTGGTCTGTTGACCAATGCTCTTAACTGCTGAGCCAAACCGGCCGGGGCAATGTCATTAGGGTTTTCATTTTTGCCAATCTGTGAGGTGTGTAGTAATCTCTCTTCATAGTTTTAATTTGCATTCCTGATTACTAATGACATTAAGTAATTTTTAATAAGTTATTGATCAGGTAGATTTCTTTTGTGAAGTGCCTGTTCAAGTCTCTTGTCCATTTTTCTATTGGGCTGTCTTTTTTTTTTCTTTATAAAAATGATTTGTAGATTTTTATATATTATGTATATGAATTTTTTTGTAACTTTGTGTGTTATAAGCATCCTTTCCCATTCCTGGCTTGTCTTTTCACTCTCTTGGTGGGATCATTTGATGCACAGATATTCTTAATTCTAATATAGTTGAATATTTATTGATCTTTTCCTTTTTGGTTAATTTTTTTCCTGTGCTGTTTAAGACATTTGTTCCTATCCGAGGTCATGAAGATAATCTCCAATAACTTTCACATTGGCTTTTAATCCACCTGCAGTTTTTTTTGATATTGTTTGAGGTAACAATGTAGTTGTATTCTGCCACCACCCCACCCCTTTAAAGGTATCCAGCTGTCCCAGATAGTTTATTAATATCCATCTTTTCCTGACTGCTCTGCAGGGTTACCTCTGTCATATATCAAGTGCCCTATAAGCATGGATCTATTTGAGGGTCTTTATTATTCTCTTGATGTGTTTGTCTATCCTTGTACCTGTACTGCACGGGCTTAATTATATTTACTCTATAAAAAGTCTATTATCTTGTAGAGTAAATTCTGCTACCTTGTTCATATTTTCCGAGAGTGTCTTGGCACTTCTTGGCCCTTTGCACTTCCATATAAATTTAGAATTAGCTTTTTAAGTTCCACAGACAAAAACTATTGAGATTTTAATTCAGTTTGCATTTAATCAATACATCAATTTTTAGGGAAATGATACTATTATAACATTGAATCTTCCAATCCATGAACACATTATATCTCTTTATTTATTTTGGTTCTCTTTAAAGTCTCCCAATAAAGTTTATAAGTTGTTCTGTACAGGTCTTACATAACATTAATATAAGAAAATTAAATAACAAAGACAATAGTAACAGAGAGGTCAGAATGCTAATTGTTAAATGAACAAAAAACAATAAATGGCTTTAAGGATTCAGAGAAGAACCAATATGCCTTGGTATTTCATAATAGATGATGTTAAAAAAGATTTTTGGAACCCGCTGGTATGGCTCATTGGTTGAATGTTGACCCATGCACCAAGAGGTCACCAGTTCAATTCCCAGTCAGGGCACATGCCCAGTTTGTGGACCAGGTCCCCAGAGAGGGGCATGCAGGAGGTGGCCAATTGATGTTCTCTCTCATTGATGTTTCTATCTCTCCCTCTCCCTTTGTCTCTCTCTAAAACAAACAACAACAACAACAAAAAAACAATAAAGAAAAAGATTTTTGGTTAAATATTAATTAGATATTTGTATAACTGTTATATACATGTCTGGAAATTGTCACATTTTCAGTTCATTAATGTTAAAAAAGAAATCGTGTACTAGTTGTTTTATTGATTATCTGCACAGTCACTATTTTACTGATTACATTTTTCCTCTGTTGGTGAATCTTTTGGCTGAAATGGCTAAAGTTATGTAGATACTTTGGTAACACCTAAAAATATCTTAAGGGAAAGGTCTGTATAGTCATTTCCAAGTATGTTATAAAAGTCTGAAATATCAATATTTGGTGTAACTTCTGAAATAATGAAATAGTACATTAATTGCTTCTTTGTAGTAAGTTTATTCATTTGACCTATTAATTATTTGAAAACATAAGATATCTTTAGTGTGTAACTTACACTTCAGGGGAGAATTGAGTCACATGTTTGCAATATAATTTGTTTTTCTTTATTTTCAAAATAGAGATTGGCATATTTAAAAGAAAGAGGCAGCATTCTTAGTTCCTAATACAAATAAATCTCTCTTGGTAGTGAGGGTTGCTGTACAGATGGGTCCCAACCTTGTCACCTCTGGGCAACAGCAGTGAAATTGTTTGTTCCGACAGCAGACAGCCTCACTGCAGAGCCCTGGTTTAATGTTACACTAAGCATTAGTGCTGTTCTTTCAGAAGCTATTATGCTGTGACATCAAAGATTTTCTGACAGGGCAGTAGTAGGTTAGCACTGAAGTTGTCTACTGAAATTTTAAAAACGGAATCAAATATATATGATCAGACTTTAATATGAGATAAAGACAGAATTAGAATGGTTTAAAGAATGTTGAAGAAACAATGAATCTATAGACTGGCCTCTTTGTCTCTGTTTGTTTAAGCCAAATTCTGTTACCTTTTATTTACACAGCAAGTACAAATGGCCATTGTATTAATGCTGAGATAGTTGATCAATTCAGAAGAAGGAAGAAACATTTGAAGACATTATGAAGAAGGAAGAAACAGCCTTTTTCGCAATGAAAATGGTTAGATTGACCTGCAGAGTGTTTTATATACATGAACATGTGGACAGTAATTGCAATGGCCTGACTTACTTGTTGCTGATCCATTAGTTAAAAGGTTCAAACTACATACTCTATTATAAAGTTACAGGAATACAATTTAGGTGACAAATGAAGAGATGAAAAGTCTTGCAACTAAAATGCTTAATTTTTCATAGCAGTTTTATAAATATAGGTAACTTAAAATTAATTAGATTACCAATGTTGTCTTTTGAAAAGGCTAATTTTGGTTAAACATTGAGAAATATTAGTCATTTTTTTTTTTTTGTATAGGCTTTCTTTTTGAGACAAATAAATTAAGCATTGTGGTTTCAAGTATTTCTTAAATTTTTGTAGTGAAATCAGACTTGCTGTAACTATAGCATTACTGTGATATTGTCATGAAATAATCTTGGTAATATAAAATGTCAATTAATTTTATAAGCACAATCTAATGTCTGGACATTTTAGACAACAAAGAATTTTTTGAGATTAAGCAAAAAACTCATGTATTATGATGAATATGTTCTTAATACTGTAGTGTGCTTTTTTGTTAAAGTAATAGCAAACAAAACTTTTTTCAGTTATATACAAGATACACCATGATACATTTATCTTAAATAATACTAATACTGTTAGTTGAGGAGTAACTGAAACAAAAAAGAAATTTCTGTATAGGTACTTGTTTGTTTGATCATGTTTCAAGATAATTTTATTCCAGTTCAAAGTAATCTATAATCTAGTCATAAAAAGAGTTAACTAAAAAGATGAATTTAAAGGTCTTTGCTCTGGCATGTATCTCACAGTTTTATTCACACAGACTGATTTGCACAGGGAAATGTTGCTACATCCTTTAAAAATCATTAAAAATGATTACTCTGAAATAAAATGCCCAAGGAGCTCTACTGTAATTTTCATAACACTTGTTGAAAATGAGATACTTGAACCTGTAGGTCTGAAACAAATTTGATTATATAAAAATGCTTTCACCTTTTAAAAGTTTTTGTTTGTTTTTATTTTTGGTACAATAAAATGCAGTGGTAACAAATCAAAAGAAGTGACAGGACAAACATGAAGAAAATGTTATAATATTTTCTCTGAGGACCCTGAAATCTTTATTTTTATTTTTATCCTCTCCGAGGACATTTTTCCATTTTTTGTTAAGATAGAGTGGGAGGGAGAGAGAGGAAGAGAGAAAAAGAGAGAGAAACATCGACGTGATAGGGACACATCGAGTGGCTGCCTCCCACATGCACGACCCAACCAGGGCCAGGGACAAACTGTAACCGAGGTACGTGCCCTTAGCGGGAACCGAACCCGGGTCTCTCTGGACTGCAGGCCAACGCTCTAACTGCTTAGCCAAACTGGCCAGGGCAGGACCCTGAAATCTTAAGTGTTCAAGTAAATTTAATATTTTTAAAAAGTGTGATACTTTAAATCAACGACAGTACTTGGTAGGGAAAGAACAGGAGAATGTTTGGACAGATGTTTACTCATTTAAAAGTAGTAATTCTATATAAATATTTATATTATCAATATTGTTTCAATCCTTTTACTTCTGCCAACTACAGGCATCCTAATTTAAAATTATATATAGTTTAGTAATGTTGTCAATAGATGGTTAAAAGCAACATAGGTGTATTTGAAAATTTCTGGTAGTTATTAACTGAAGGACTATAAAGAATTTTGGTCTTTTTCATATGATGATGAAGGAAAGTTTGAGTACTTTAACTAATTTGAACTGTTTTGAAAAACTTAAGTTCTGGTTCATCATACTATCTATCAAACAGCTTGTCAGCCCTAATGCTCCCAAGAGAGTGGATTACAGGTACACTCAGCTCTTTACAAGGGCTGCTAAATAAATGTTTACAAGAGGAGCTATTTATTTACTTATTTTACAAAATTTTGTGCATTTAAATTACAAGCTACTGGGAAATACATTTTGGAGACTCTCTTAGACAATATGTTATAGGAGACATAGTTTCCTTTTTTTTTTTGAGTTTCAAATATGTTTTTATTTTACGAATGAAAAGTCACATTCTGCTTAAAAATCCACAAGGCATTTTCCAAGATACAAACAGAAGGAAGTAAAGAGACACAATGCAGAAAGACCACCAAGAGGCTCAGAGATAACTTACAATTTTTTCTCAAAGCACTAGTAAAAATTATGGTCAATGTGCATGTACATATATACAAAAATGCTAGAATAAAAGAAAGAGCAGAATTCAGGCCATCTCCTTACTGTTGGCTCAGAGTTTCTATTTTACCTTTACTGTCCATATTCTTTATGTTCCAAATGCTCCAAGGGAAGATCTAATGCAAAAATTTCAAGGTATCATAGACTTTACTTTTATTTTTGTAATTGAGCAATATGCCTTTATTTTATTTTTTCCTCTTTTTCTTAAATTGAATTTATTGGGGTGACACTGTTTAACAAAATCATACAGGTTTCAGGTGCACAATTCTATAACACATCATCTGTACACTGTATTGTGTATTCACCACCCCAATCAAGTGTCTGTCCATCACCATTTATCCCCCCTATTCCTTCCTCCATTCCCCATACCCTCCAATAGCTGTCAGCCTGCTCTCTCTGAGTCTGCCTCTATTTTGCTTGTTAGTTTATTTTGTTCATTAGATTCCACATATGAGTGAAATTATATAGTACTTGTCTTTCTCTGACTGGCTTATTTCACTTAGCATAGTACTTTCTAGGTCCATCCATATTTTTGCAAAAGATAAAATTTCCTTTTTTTTTTTTTTTTTTTACAGCCAAGTAGTATTCCAATGTGTAAATGTACCCACAGCTCTTTTATCCACTTATCTACTGATGAGCACTTGGACTGCCTCCAAATCTTGCTATTGCACTGCAATGAAAATAGAGGTGCACATATTCTGTTGAATTAGTGTCTCAAGTTTATTCGGATAAATTCCCAGAAATAGAATCACTGGTTCATAAGGCAGTTTCATTTTTAATTTTTTGAGGTCACTCCATACTGCTTTCCACACTGGCTGCACCATATACATTCCCACCAACAGTGTACCATGGTCTCTTTTTTCCACATCCTCGCCAACACTTGTTGTTTGTTGATTTATTGATGATAGCCATTCTGACAGGTGTGAGGTGATATGTCATTGTGGTTTTAATTTGCATTTCTCTGATTATTAGTGATGTTGAGAAATTTTTCATATGTCTATTGGCCATGTGTATGTTCTCTTTGGGGAAGTGTCTATTCAGGTCCTTTTCCTGTTTTTTAATTGGAATTTTTATTGGTATTGAATTTTACAAGTTCTTTATAAATTTTATATTATTAATCTCTTTTCAGATGTATCAGCGAATATGTTCTGCTAGTCAGTGGTTTCCCTTTTTATTTTGTTGATGGTTTCCTTTGCTGTGCAAATACTTTTTAGTTGAATATAGTCTTGTTTATTTTTTGTTTGTTTCCCTTGCCCAAGGAGATGTATTAGAAAAAATTTTGCTATGAGAAATGTCAGAGACTTTACTGCCTATGTTTTCTTCTAGGATTATTATAGTTTCTAGTCTAACATTTACATTTTTAATCAATTTTTAGTTTACTCTTGTGTATGGTATAATAAGGTGGTCTAGTTTCATTTTTTGCATGTATCTGTCCAATATTCCCAACACTATTTATTGAATAGACTGTCTTTACCCCATTGTATGTTCTTACCTACTTTGTCAAATATTATTTGACTGTAAATGCATAAGTTTATTTCTGGGATCTGTATTCTGTTTCATTGATCTATATGTCTGCATCTAGGCCAGTACCATGCCATTTTGATTACTATAGCTTTGTAGTATAGTTTGAGATCAGGTAGTGTGATACCTTCAACTTTATTTTTCTTTTTCAAGATCACTGTTGCTAATGGGAAAGTGAAGGTGGGCGTTATAAAAGGCAGAAAAAATATGTTCAGATTCTATAATGTGATGAATGTTTTGATTGACTAATGGACAGAGGGCTGTAGATACACTTAAGAGAGAATATTAATTTTGACTGAGCGAAGGTTCTTAGCTACTATTTTTTGTATACAATTTGAATTTTTTATTGTTCATGACCTTAAGATCAGGTCAATATGTCCTTTATTTTTACATCTTGTTAATATTACTGAGGTAGAATTTACATAACTTAAAGCTATCCATTTTAAAGTGAACAATTCAGTGGTGTTTTAGTATGTTTACAATGTTGTGCAACCACCACATCTATTCAGTTCCCAAATCTTTTCATCACCCCAAAAGGAAACCCCATGTCTGTTAAAGCAGTTATTCCCCATTTCTCCCTGTCCCTGGCAGCCACCAGTTTTCTTTCTATCTCTATGGATTTACCTTTTCTTGGAATTTCATATAAATGGAATCATACAATATGTAACCTTTTGTCAAGCTTTTCAAAAAACTTAGCATAATCTTTTCTAGGTTCATCTATATGGATTTTTTTTAAATGACTGAATAATATTTCATTGTGTATATACAATTTGTTTACCTATCAGTTCATTGATGGGCATTTGGGTTGTTTCCACCTTTCAGCTATTTTGTATGGTGCTGCTATGAAAATGCATTTGCAAGTATTTCTTCTGAGTATTTGTTTTCAGTTCTTTTGGATATATACCTAGCAATGGAATTCCTGGGTCATATGATAATTCCATGTTTAATTTGTTGAGGAACTGCCATACTGTTTTCCACAATAGCTGTACCATTCATTTTACATCCCTACCAACAATGTAATAAGTTTCCAGTTTCTCCACATCCTTACCAACATTTGTTATTTTCCATTTTTTAGATTATAACCATCATACTCGGTGAATCAGATGCTATTTTGATGCCTATTTCTTTTTTTGTTTGTTTTATTTTTAAAATTTATCTTTATTATTGAAAATATTACAGATGTCCACTCTTTCCCCACATTGACACCCTCCACCCTGCTACCCCCACCCACACCCCTAACTTCACTGCAGGATTGTGTCCATGGGTT